AAAATAATTTAATAGAATTAATCCCAAATAAGTTATTCAGTTATAATGTCATTGCAAAGTATGATATTAATAATCTTGCTGTGAAAAAATTCCTTCTCTGAAAAAAAAAAATTCAGAAACTTATTCATATGCAGAAAAGTAAACTACAAGAATCATGACTACCTGGTGTTTTCCCAGAGTAATTATACTCATCAGTTTTAAGGTGCTATGAAATATTCACTCATTACACTGTTGAGTTGATATACTCAATAAATATGACAATTACTTATAATTCAAAGTAAATCTACTAATATAAGGGAAGAAAAGATTGTGATAGAAAGGTTATCAAAACTAAGATGAAGTTTTCAAATATAGACTATGGAAGTGTGTAATGAAATCATGCCAGGAGAGTACATTTGCGAAAACTTATATCTATTTAGGTCAGACAACCTAATTCACATAATTGGTGCAGTTTTGACAAAATCCTTTCATGTATACCTTTGCCACTAGCTAAGATGAATTGATCTGCATCGTGTCTGGAAGAGTAAATACTCTTCCAGAAAAAAATAGTAGAATTATCTAGGGCTGAAGTGAAAACATATACAAGTGGACTAAGATGATCCCTTGATTGATAGGTGAGAAACTTCCAGTCTGAATGAAAAACTCTTCTCAATGAATCCCACAAACTGCTGATGACTTGCTGCAATTGTTGTGCCCTCTTATTAAGGGAGATGGATGGATTTGACCAAGAGGTGCACTGGAAAGCTGAGCATGATACCAAAGTAAAACATAGACAGTAGAAAATCTTTCTACATAATGTTTTTAGGGGTACTTTAAGAATCCTTTGGGTATTAATTTGGGCAATGAGTGTTAGTATTAGACAAATTTAACTATAAGACTGTTAAATTGTGCAAACAATAATTTTTTTTCTTCTTTTATATATGTGTAAAAGTATCTTTCCATTAGTGACCTTTATCAAAAGAGTCTGTGTGTAATTCATCAATTAAGCAAACAGACTGTTTTAAACTAAAGTACCTGGTTGCTAGAAGCTCTAGCATAGTGGCTCCAAGCAATACCACTTCATTCTCATAGTATCTTCTGTCACTAAGTGAGGATGGAACTCATTATTGTCTGCAAAGAGGTCAATTGGACCATAGGGGAAGGCAGGAAATTCAAGTCTCTCTTACAGGAATGTGTGAAAAAAACTCAAATAATCTCTGGTGCTCCACAAAGGGTTTTTTTTTTTAATCAGTCCCATCTTCTCACCTAAGGAACAAAATGCCACAAAGACTCAACAAATCATATTCAAATGGAAAACTCCTCTTAATGCACTAAATGCACTCAGGGTAAGCATACTGAGCAGTACCATTACAGAAGTAGCTAAGGTATTGTTATTTCCTGTAGTTTATGAATGAGTTACATTAATTTTCTATACATCTTCAGAACAGAACCATAACATCCATCAAAATTGTTGAGACATCTCTTTGTATAAAAGATAGTTTCTCTGGAGCCTGGAGAACCTCCTTCCCAGCTGCTAAATCCCAGCTCAGTGCACCCAAAGACCTGGGAGTCCCATCCATCCAATGGCTGCAGCTGCTGCCTTCCTGTTTGCAGGCTCAGCCAGCAGCCAAGATGAACATGTATGCCAGAGATGCACACAGGCAGAGGACACTAATGCAGCCAGCTACATAGACTATCCACAGATAAGGCATTGCTTTTACCAGCACCCACCCAGAGCTCACATAAAACATATGTACAAACAGCCAAATTTTAGTCCTCCTCTCTGACTGATAAGGATGGAAGTTTGCTAGTAAAGATACACAGCCCCTTACCCTTCATTTCAAAAGCATTGACACATTTGTGAACCTTTTCAATCCACAGCCCCTTATCCTCTGGTTCACAAACACCAACATTTTTGTGAACCCTTCCAAAAGCAGTGTGGGGCCTCAGCTCATCTCATATTGATGCCCAGATCCTGTGCCTCCACTTAACAGACAGTCCTGCTTGAAGGCTGCTATTGAATTGCACATGAACACACACATGTGCACAGGCACACCTGCACACACACTCAGAGACCAGCTTAGAGGAAAACATAAACTTTTTATCTTCCAAGTGGCTCCTGCAAGTGCACCCAGGCCCTGATACCCTTGCTCCCCTCTTCATTTGCTGACGCTGGGACTCTCCTCTGCTCAATTGGCAATAGGCATGTGAGCCACCATTGCCCAGAGACTGATGCCCTTTGCTGGCACAAAATTGAACTCTCTTCAGACACACACTCCTAAAATCTGTGGGCTCCCTTCAGCTTGCTGATGCTGAGGCCCTCATTTACTCCAAATGCTGGCACCAAAGTTATTAGGACCCCTACCACCGGTGGTCTAACTCAAATTGCAGACACCAAATTCAGGCACTTTTTCTCTCCAGTTCTGGCATTGGCACCTTGGAACACATAGATGGGGAGAGAGTGAGATTATATGGAAAGAGAGTAAAGAAAAGATTTAATAAAAAGAATAGATAGACTACAGTGATTCGGTGCAGATCTCAGTCAGACAAGAGTACTGAGCAGCAACTGCTTACACACTACCAGCCTTCCTCTCTGCACCCACCCCATCTTTGTTTTACCCATATTCCCTTCCTTTAAATGTTTCTTAATAAGTCTAAAGATGCAAATTCTGGTATGAATTGGAGTATTCAATCATAAGAATACTGACAACCTAACGCTAGCTTTTCCAGTTATGTTAAAAATCTTCCCTCAGTAAAGACTAAAGAGAGTTTTGAGAGCTCAGTGAATGAATGAATCAGTTAATAAAAAAGAAAAATACAGAATTGAAAGGAGAATTTACACTGCTTGTCTAATAGACCCATTCTATCCTTGTGAACATAAAAACTTGGACCAAGCAACCTTTACTTATTTTGACTAAATGCTTTCAGAGCATTTTTATGTAATTATAATTTTATTTAATTCCCATCAATATAGAGTAACACGTATATTAATTATTTTTATTTGGATCATGTGAACTAGTTAGTGTCTTGACTCATTTTAGAAAAAAGGACAAAGTTTACAAAATCTTAAACCCAATGTGCACAATCTTGTTTGTATGTTTTCTTTTCTGTGTGCAAGTTCAATATCAAGACAGAAGAATGCTTTGAATTTTCTGCCAATTTCACACAATTAAAATAGCATTCAAATTACAATATTCATAATTACACAACTCACCTTGGCTGAGACTACAATACAGCTGCAACAGATCAACAATAGGAAAATGTCTGTTTTCCTAAAAAAATGCCTTTTTCATTAGTAGTATTCTTTTAGGTAGCTGTTCTTCAAATTGCCTTTGTGCTAGCAAACACCTTTATGCAGGACCATAGGAAGACATGTAGACTTAAACCAGCACATTTGGTTAGTAAAAATTGTAAAATTATATTGTATGTCAATCAATCAGTCCTGTTATACTACAGAAACAGAAAAAAATTGTTAAAATCCTTCTTCTCCTAAGATACTTATTTTTAGAAACAAGAAAGGTTTCCCCATTTTCTTTTGGCTAAGTGGAGAATAAAAAGTCACTTAGTTACACTCATAGTGTCCTTTTTTTCCTTGTCAATCCTTACCAGCTACTAGAAAGTAGTGTTCAGAGTGTCTTGCCCTCCAGTAGTTCAGAATATTAAACCATTTTCATGTCATTATGGATATGTATTTACTGTATCTGAAAGTTCTTCCTGTCTCATTTCTACCACCCCTAAGTATGTCAAAATTGCAAAGATATTTGTAGGGGAAATTTCAAAAGTGATGTGTCTATATAATTTGTGTGAAAGGGCAAAGGTCCTAAAGAGATATGGACCATGAGGGGGTGGAAAACCAGTTCTAGAAAACTTTACTAATGGATTTTTTTGTTTGAAAAAAGAGTGAGGTTTTTTCCAGTTTTCTCAGAATTATGCTGACCATGATGCTTCTATAGTGAAAGAAAGGTAAGAAAGGGAGAATAGCAAACAGATTAACTAGGAATTTAGAATTCAGAAGGTTTATCCAAATTTTAAAAATATATTTCTATGCAGGCGTAATTAAAATATCGACAAGGATCTTCAGTCTTTCACTATGAAAATAAAGATTATCTCTTTGATCCCTCTAACTCCATTATGTTTGTTTGTTTGTTTTAACTCTTCATTTCAATGTAATGATTTCTTTGTATTCTATATTTGACAAGATAAGTGATGCTTCCAAGAAAGATACACTTTGAAAATTTTACTGTCTTTGGATATTCAAGAGCTAGCTTTATACTTAGCTCTTTCTTAAAGAATGTTCTTCTGAGGGTTACTACTTTTCTCACATCCATACAGTGAACGTCTTTTGTGAAGCACAAGAATAAGCAGTTTTTCATTGCTATCCTAATCTTCCAAAAAAGTGTTTATAAGAGGATGGTTTTAGATACATTTTTTTCATTCAGCTTTTCTTATGAAAACATCTTATTTGTCCCATATATAGTAAATAAACCACTTATCTTCTTCCTTTTTAATCAAGTTGCACCCCTAAATCATGACATTATTGACTCTTTGGATTATTTCCATCTTAAATTTCTAGTACCTATGAGAGGATAATGAAATTAGGAATAGAAATGTATTCAAATTCATCTATCCAGGATGAGTTCTGAATCTTGATAACTCTGTATTTGAGAACCAGGGAGTCAGTGATTAAGAGTCTTCCCCTGTTATTCTGCCAATAGAAAAATAGTACTTGTGTATGACATCTGATTACAAAAAGCTTCTCTAATTTATATGTTTTTACTTCAGTACATGAATAATTTGGAAGTCTGATTTTTATATTTTACAAAGCCGATTTTTACAAAATCTAAGGATATGTCAATCTGTGCAATAATCATCAAAAATAAATGTTTTAATAAAGCAAAAGTTTGCTTTATTAAAAGTTTATTGAAAAAAAGTTTTAAAAAGTTTATTTATTAAAAGTTCATGCCATTACTACAACAGATAAAATTATTATTGTAAGACAGGAAAAAAAAGGTGCTTCCTACCTGTAAAGCCCATGTCACACTCACAAAAAAAAGTGTTTGGAGTAACATTGATGCAGTTACCATTGAAACATGTGGATGGCTGGCATTGTCCAACTATTTCTGTGCAATTTTTACCTGTGTCAAAGGAATAATAGGAACATTGGAGTTTAGCAAATATTTAGGGAGTTGGTGAACATTTTATAAATGTCAAATTTATAGCTACAATATGGATAGGCAAATGGATAGAAAGGTATTTATGCCAACATTGTTCATTAATTTGCACCAAACTTACTGAGCTTCTAAGGAAAAGCAGAAAGATATTAATCCACTTTTATGCTCACATACTGTGCTTAACCTCATCTAACATATAGTGATAAATTCACATACACCTTAAAAGGCAGAAGAGCTACTAGAACTGTTGTATTTATTTCTTTTTAACATGAATTTAACTTACCGTTTCATTCAGTGTTGAGAACAAAAGATGTCCTGATGTGGAGTGGAAATATGAGATTTTTTATTAATATGCAGCTTTCTAGAAATTACATTCCAGTAATAAGTTGTTTATGCTATTATAGCATACAAGTCTAAATACCATTTAATTATGCTTGCCTCTTGAATTATTACCATGACATTATTCACACTTCAAAAAGTGTTCAAATTTCTAATAGACTTTATGTTATGGGAGGAACTTATTCCTCCCTTACTCTTGTGTAGCCCTGCCCATAATATATGGTGATTTAGTCTTCTAATTCTTCTTGTTTGCATCCAGTTTATTTATGGGACCAGTATTGTCAGCTGATGACATTACCTAAAACTTTCCCGTATAGGCTAAAAAAAATGTTTTAAGCATGGCTTTTTGATAGCATTAAGCATGATGATTGCTTTTAACAGAATTGCTTCCAAATTTTTTTCATTAATTTGAGTTCAATTAGTACCAGACGCTTTTGGTACTGTTATTTTCAAAGCATTTTATGCAGTCTCCAGTAACGATAAAGGAAATATAAAACATACTGCATACCATCAATGTTTTCCACTATCTTATTACACTGTTCATAATTATAAAAAAAAATTTCTCACAACATTGACTTATTCATACCTGCATAATCTTCCATTGGCAAATGCATTAGTAACCAAATTATTATGCACTTTGAAAAGCAATTAAAAATAAATTACAGCAATCTTTATGCAACATAAGCTTCATTTCTATGAAGCATATTCTATGAACCTCACTCATTCCTAAGCTATCAGCTGTGCTTCACAGCATAGCATCACTATTGTGAGATCATAGAAATTCAGTACAACTGAGGAACATTTCAGGAATTCTTCTCCACAAGTACAGAATGAGCTACAATGATTCTTTTTTGATGAGGATGAATATTTCTGGTACTTTCTATAACATACCTAAACTCTATTGGTCTGAATGCAGGAACAACAACCCCATAATTTCCTTAAACCATTTTTTTCCTCCATTAATAAGAGTAGTCATTAGATAAGAGTGTGGTAATCCAAACCCAAATTCAGTTTGTTCTGATGAGTTTTGGGTAAGTGCTGTAATATTTCCTAGGAGGATTACTTGATTTTTGTTTTTTTCATTTGTGATATATTTATTTGATAATAACAGTATGTTTAACAAATTGCCTTTGAAAACAACCTCAGGGGACAGAACAATCTGGAAGAAAGTACTAAGTATTTTATTTTGCTTGTTCTTCTAAATTAAGGTTTGACCTTTCAGTTAAACTAAATTTTGATACAAAAAAAATCACTAATGTAATCTGATAGGTCTTTAAATTAAAATGGAGGGGAGTTCTGACTGGTTGAATGAAATCATTATTCATTTAAACAAAATCACTCTATTCTACCATTTTGATTAACCAGGTATTTTCGGGGGACCTTACTCCAAATGATTTATGTTGTTTGGTCTCATAACCTGAACTGCAGAATAAAAAAAGTAAACCAGTTACTTCTGTAAGTCAAGAAGCATTTATTTATGTCTCATGCTTAAGTTGGAAAGAAGCACGATAAGAACTTATTCTGTTTTTCTCTACAATGTATTTATGAATGTCTGCAAGTACAAACTGTCTTCAAATGCCTGCACAGTCTCCCATAGGTGACACCATGTAAAAGAGACCCTGCAGGTATGGTAGCAGCCATGGGCAATCAAATGATACAAAAGTCTTGCTAGTGCTGTTCCTATTGTTTTATCACCTGTTAAGGAAAGTGTAAGATCTATATAATGCTTACCCCTAGAGGAGAAAAGAAATACCTGAAAATTTTGGAGGACATGTGCATTCATAAGAATCTCCCGAAAGTTCTGATTTCTCAGTGCAGGAGGCATTGTTGCGGCAAGGTTTAGTGGAGCATATATCAAACTTCTGGCAGAACGTTCCTGAATACTGTGAGAAACAGTGGCAATTAAATGTTTTCTCCCAAATGTGGCTTAGACATTTTCCATGCCCAGAGCACAGAGGTGCACCCCGAGACTGTTGGCAAAGCTGCTGCTTCACAGTAACATTCAGACGAAGGCCCATGTTGCACAAGAGTGGGCCTCTCTTGTGAAGTTCTGCAAAGTAGTGAGTTCCAGCACCAAGCCAGTTAGGATCCACTTGGTGCAGTCCTCTTATCTGGCAAACAAAAATCAACTGGTCTTGAAGAAAACCAGCTTTAGGGCAGTTAATAAATTCTTCCTTGGAGACATTTACCAGATTCATTCCATAAGACTGAAAGGATGGCTCAGAGGAGATGAAGAGACTATCACCTAATTGAAGCTGTAAAGGGCATATCTGAGGGATGCTGAGGTTATGTTCTTCAGAGATTTCACCAATAATACTTTTATTCATATTCCAGCATTCAGTGTAAAAGTCTGAACAGACATTTTCCCTTGGTGTCCATTTTATTACAGTAGGTTTTGGTTCTGTTCTCCATTCAGTAATCATTTGTCTCTCACATATTACTTGCCCATTGACAATGCAAAGTTGAAGAAAGCACACTACCATGCAATATGCTGATTTCATAGTCATCATTTCACCTGACCAATGGAAGTTTCCTTTCACATATGCTTCATTACTGAGGATAACTTCAGAACATTTGTTCCTGATGGTTCACGTGTATTTTCCACGGCACCCTAGGAATTCAAACAGAGGAAAATATTTCTGTTTTCATACCAAATACAGTTTGGTATGAAATATTAAAACCACATTACAAAACAGAAAATGTACAACAAATCAAGGGCAACATCTAACTAGTCATGGGAAATTGGAATAAGTCAAATGAACCAATCAGAACTCCAACACCGAAAAAAAGTCAGTTTTTTCCTATTTTTATTCCTGCTAAAAATTTGATATTTATTTAGTGCATTTCATTGTTCTTGTGTGCGCAAGAGATTGAAGGCATACTTTTCATGTTCCCTCCTTCTGACGATAAAATTAATGGTATTAAAGTTAAGATAGGGCATCTGCAGCAAAACGAGGAACTAAACACAAACATTGAAGTTCTAGTCATAAACTTTAACCATAAATATTTTTCTAATAATAATTTAATAATTTATTATAAAAGTAGATATTCCAAAGATGTAGGCCTGAGAATTTTTACTTTTTAAAGAAAACATGCAATCACTACTCAACTCTTTTCTGTTCTTATACATTTAACAAAACCCTTCATTGAATCCTTAATTTTCAAAGAATATGTTTTAAAAGCAAATGTTCTTAATCATATGCTTAAGACTATTATGCATTACGGTCAAAGATGGCAGATTACAGAGTCCTCCAGGACTATTTAATTTATAGACTAGCCTTTTCTATCCCTTGAATATATCTAGCGATTTTTATTGCATCGAGATGAGTGATTACAGAAAGAAAACCAAAATAAGATTATGAAGCTTCTGCTTGGAGTCATAATGAAAATGTTGAAAACCCAATATTATGTTAAATACCTTTGAAATTTTCAATAGCTGTGCATTAGTCATACCTTAATTTGTCTTAAATGCAAAGCTTTTTTTCTCTTTTACTCTTTTTTCTCTTCAGCATTCTTATTTGAAATTCTCAGATATTTATATTCCCTTTTAAGATAGTGGCCGCTAAACTAGTATTTACAAATGAGAAAGTTATTCTAAAGAAAACTTATCTTACAAGGGAAGCCATTCAATGTAAAAAAAACAATAGCATTTATAGTTTGAAATTTGTTCCCATTGTTTTCATTTTTGCACAGCACATGCAAAAATAATGTGGATGAATAGTTTTCTATTCTAATAAAACATGTAGTTTTATTGGTCTTGCTTGGCCTGGTTTTGGTAGGGGGAGGGCTAGAGGGGTGGCTTTCTCAATGTCCAGCAAAGCCAATGCCAGCCAGCTCCAAGATGGAAGTGACATTGGTCAATACTGGACCAATCACAGAAATAGTGGTAAGATCTATGAGATAAAAGTTTTAAGAAGAAGAAGAAAAAGTTATTGTGCTGTTGCAACTGAATCCAGAGAAGAGCAGAGTGTGAATATGTGAGAGGAATAGCTCTGCAGACACCATGGTCAGTGCAGAAGGAGGGGCAGGAGGTGGTTCAGGTGCCAGAGCTGAGATTCCCCTGCAGCCCCTGGTGCAGCCCCTGGTGGGGCAGCTGTGCCCCTGCAGCTCATGGAGAGATGCAGAGATCCACCTGCAGCCCTTGGAAGAGATGCACACTGGAGCAGGTGGGTGCCTGAGAGGAGGCTGTGGACTTGTAGACATCCAGGACATCCATGCTGGAGCAGGATCCTGGTAGCAATCTGCAGGCCAGTGGAGGGAGAAGCCCATGCTGGAGGAGGTTTCCTGGTAGAACTTGAGACCCTGGGAGGAACTCATGCTGCAGGAGGTATTCCTGAAGGACCGAAAGTTATGGAAAGGTATCCCTCAACTGCAGAAGTTTGTAGAAAACTGTTGCCTGTTGGATGGACTCACATTAGTGAAATTTGTGGGGAACTGCCTTCCTTGGAAACTCCCCATGCTGGAGCAGGGGAAGGACTCCTCTTTTGGAGCAGCGGCAGAACCTGTGGTGAACTGACCATAATCCTCATTCCCTCTCTCCCTGTGCCACTGGGGTAGGAGGGAGTGCTGGGGAAGATGGAGGAGTAGGGGGAAGATATTTTTAAGGTCTTATTTTATTTCTCATGATTCTGCTCTGATTTTTTTAGTAATAAATTCAATTAATATCTCTAATTCAAATCTATTTTGCCCATGACTGTATCTGGTAAGTGATCATTCTCTGTCTTCATCTTAAGTCACAAACCCTCCATCATATTTTCTCTTCTCTGTCCATTGTGGAGGAAAGTGTTAGAATGATTTTGGTGGGTGCCTGGCATCTACCCAGGGTCAACACACTACACTGGTTTATCACAAAAGGACATGTGGATTATGATGCAGCAGTGAATGATTTCCCTAAATGTCCTCACTTTCCCCAAAGATCTTTAAGTGTATTTCGGTCCATGCTCTGGACTGGGCTGAAAGATCAAAGGACTTTCAAAGGACAGAGTAAAGATACTGAAACCTTTAGTTGAAGAATTTTTAAAACCTTAATGATCTAATGGCAATTATATGATCACATTAAAGGGTCATATTCAGTCTCTCCTATTTCTATCTAAATTGAGATGAAAACATCCAAAATGTAGCTATGTCCTATTAATAATATGCTGAACATGTGAACCTGTCCCAATGACCTTTGTGCAGTAGAGTGGCCAGCACTGTTTAAGATATCAGAAAAGTGTGGACTCTAACTAACTAATAGCAGTAACACGAGATTGGAGTTAAGAATATTAAACTCAGAAGGAGTACAAACTATATTTTGACCCTTCTCCCAGAACAGTTTTCATTTTAATTTAATTACTGGATCCAAACTTTGCCTTCAAAGGGTTTCTGTACTCTAGCCACACAGCTCCAAAGCTAGGCAAGTATTTTAGTACTAATTTCCTCTCTCTTCCTCTGTATGTTCACCCCTGGGAATTAACTCCCCATAGAAAGAAAGAAAGAAAGGACACAGATCTGCAAAAATACTACTATTCTTGCTGCTGAATACTCATAATCTTTCTATTTCAAGACCACTCCATTATCTTCATAATCTCATGATGTTCAAAGATACCATTACATAAAGGGGTATCAAATGTGTAGTTTGAGTAATTTAGATTTTTTTTTTTCTTTTAAGGTAGCAGTCTTAAACCATTACATTCATTATAACTGCTATTACATCTGTTACTGTTATCAGGTATAGAAGTCTATGGTCTGTATTATTGCATAGATTTATAAATCCTACATTCAGCAGCCTATCTTTTCATACCTATTTCTTTTCATTACCTATAATGAGATTTTCTCAGGTGTTACTAAAATAGGCCTTTACAAAAGGTTATTTTTCCTTTTTGACACTTCAAAAAGAAAGCTGTTGCATGTCTAATGCAAAAGACTTCTTGCCCATGGACATTTTGTCCTTCATTCATGTAATTATGCATCATTCTGGTGTCATATACAAGTTTCATTTTTACTGGTAATGAAAATGTGCTTCATTACAATATTTATATGGGATAAATCTGAACTATTTAAAAATAAGTGTTTGGTAGCATTGTAACAGTTTTTATTCTTCACAAAATAATTATTAGCCTTTATGCATAAGAAAATAAAAAAAATCAATAAAAAATATGAAGGTAGCCTTATAACTAATAATAATAAACAAAATAAAATTAAACAAAATTAAATAACAAAAACATCTTGTAAAAGCAATGAAAAAAACCTGAAGGAATATAGAAAATAAATACCAAGAGATTGATTTTTAGCAATAAAATAATGAAGGAAACAAAATTATAGAGTAAAGAGTATAAAAAGTAAAAAAGCTCTGTATGAAATACAGTTATAATATAGAAAATCAGCAAAGAAATTAAATAACTGCAAAATGCTTATGCCATCTCGTGAGATAAAATGATGTCATGTGATGAAATTTGAAAGGGATTATGACAACCGTTATACTTTACATCTGCTTTTGGCAAGGATAAAATCTTCCTATTTATAAGCCCAGCTGGCTCCATGTAATTGATGAAGTCTAAGAAAATTTCAAGACTGGGATTTGTATGGACACAGAGATACTTGAAGAAAATCAAACTCTTAAACTTATATAAGGCTGGGTAAAAAGCAGCACAATGCTCTATTATTCACTAGAGGAGAATAAAGCAAGTAGATTTATACAAAACTTCAACAAAAATTAATCCCACATGATCTGCATTCTTGTCTAGCATTTTAAGGATTATGTATTCTTTCTATTAATAACTGGTATTACATACTAATAACAAAAAATACAGTGCACTATAAGTGAGATTGGAGAAACACCCACAGATTATATTTGACTTTAACTTCTCAGAGAAAGAAAATCTGTCAAAAGAGAGAACAACCAGGAAATGTTTAGTAACATCATGGCACCATGTTTTGGCCAGGAATGAACCTCCTCTTTCCACCTTCCCACATGTTGCATGACCCCTTTGTTAAATTCCTTCCTGTGCTTGAGCAGCTTTGGTAGAATGGACTGCAACCTTGGATGAAAGAGATATGAAGTGAGATGGTGATGTTGAGGGGGTCAGGGGATGCTTTGTGGGTGCCCCCCTACCTTCCTCAGGTGCTGCACTTAAGGTGAAGTTCTGATCTTTGATACTCATCTGGGCTATGCTGCAAGTGAGCAGGTACTTGCCCTTATACCTTGATAACTTGGGCCTTGATCCTGTCCTAAATATTTGACTTACTTTCTTTAGCACCTGTCTCCTTGCTGCTTATGTGTCTGGGTACCACTGGACTGTTGGCTGCCTCTGAGCACCATTCCCAGACACTCTCTTTCCCATATGGATGCTATGGGATGGTGCCTCTTGTCCCTGATGTCACTCTCCCCTTCCAGCACTCCACCCTTGCATGGCAGCCCATGTTTTCTGCTCCTCGGTAATGTGATTTTTATTTTTTTAAATTTCTGGTGTGTATTTAAAAACATCAAATTTAAGCATGATGTAATAGGTATATATAATAAAGGAAAAGCCATAAATTACAATGCCTGCAAAATTTTACTTCCACTCTCTGCATTTGCAATATGCACTAATATTCCAAAGGATATATCAAGTGGTCCTTTGTACCTTTTTT